GGCAGCGCACAAACCGCCCCTACCCCGAGGCCTGTCCTGGGCGACCATGTTTGATCTTCCGAGTTGTAGCCGATGACCCGCAGTGCAGCTGTCTCCTCCCCACGACGTTCTTCTCACGTGGGGACGAGGGCCCAGCCATGGCGACGACCTGCAGCGACGAGGGAGGGTTTGCCCCCGCCTGGCGTTTGGCCCCTCCGTCGCACCACTTCCTTCGGCAACATGGCCCTCTGCGGTGGCCTGCCGAGCGCCCTGGCGCGCGCCGCCGCCTGCTGCCTGCCGGGGCAAGTCCAGCCAGTCCGCACGAGCTGACCCCAGCGTTGTAGCCGATGACATTTGCGCGTGTGCTCTCTTTGCACGCAGTGCCGGGGCCCGCGGCCACTGCTTGCGCTTCTCGCATTGCCAGCTCCCGCTGCCGCTGCCTGTCCTTCACGCACGAGCTGAGCTCAGTAGCGCTGCAGGTTTTGAGGTGTTCTTGCTGCGCCAGCGGGCACCGACAACTACAGCCGCCACTGCCTGCTTTCTCGCACCGGCAGACACTGCTGCCACTGCTTGCCTTCGCGCGCTGCCAGTCCCTGCTGTCGCTGCTCTCTTGTACGAGCTGACCCCAACAGGCTTGTATAGCAGATGAAGTGTACTGGCTTCGCCATTTGGCGCCGACAGCCGCTGCTGCCAGTGCTTGCCTTCTCGCACCGACCGCCCCTGCAGCCACTGCTTGCCTTTTCGCACGAGCTGACCTTCTCTGCAGTGTGGCTGAAGATGTTGCTCCCACGTGGCCAGTTGGCACCGACAACCGCTGCTGCCGCTGCCGCGCCGACTGACCCTGCTGCCAATGCGTGCCTTCTCGCGCAAGCTGACCGTCGCTGCCATGCAATTGAAGATGGTGTTCCTGCGTGGACTTTGGGCGCCGACAGCCGTTGCTGCCACCGCCTGCCTTCTCGCGCCGACAGACCCTGCTGCCACTGCCCGCCGTCTCGCGCGGGCTGGCCCCCGCTGCCATGCAGCTATCGGTGTTGCTCCTGCGCGGCTGCTTTCGTCTTCTGGCATTGACAGCTCATTCTTCCGCTGCCTGCCTTCCCGAGCTGTTGCTCGGTTGGGCGTCTCCCGCGCGAGCTGTCCCCAGCATTGTTGCTGAGGAAGTCGGCTCACGCGTGCTCGTCGCACGGACCGCTCCCAGCACTGTACTCCATGATGCTGCTGATCTTGGCTGGCCCCTGCTCGCCTGCTGTTCGCGTGCTGCTCCAGCTTCCTCATACCTGCTTACACTCTGGCGGCGGCGCCACAGCTGGCGCCACTGCTCGCCAAGAGCTGAAGGAGGGGCTCGAGGAGGGAAGCAACGAGGAGAGGACGGAGTGTGCCACGCCTCCTGGCTGGCTGGCGAGCGCGCGCGCGCGCGCGCCTGACCTCAGCGTTTCAGCGGATGACTCGTGGCGCCACGCTCCGTGATGTCGGCCTCCGCGAGCAGGCCAATGTCAAAGCTTGCCCGCGAAGCACCCTTGCGCGCCCCCAATGCGGGGGGGACCGCTCGGGCACGAATGCCGTGAGCCGAAATCGCTGCGGAGGAGGATGAGGAGGTGGAGGATGAGGATGAGGAGGAAGAAAAGGAGGAGGAGGAGGAAGAACATGAGGAGGAGGAGGAAGAACAGGAGGAGGACCAGAACCTATTCAGTATTCATCAATGATGCTGCAGTGCGCCCTCCACGGAACACCCCCTTGAAATGCCAGTACCCTGTGGGCCCGCCATTCGGGAGAAGACCTTGCTTTAGCAAGCAGCGGGCGGCTCCCCGGGGCCATGTTTCGATCCAGCCGATCATCCGATCGGGCCCCAACAAGCCGACCGGCCCATCCACCGATCAAACCTGTCGGCCGATCGGCTGATCGGCTGGCTGGGGCCTGATCGACGGATCGGCCGATCGGCTGCTTGCGCCCGATCGGCCGATCGGCTGCTTGGCGCCTGATCGGCCGATCGGCTCATCGGCTACTCGGCACCCGATCGGCCGATCGGCTGCGTGGCGCCTTGTCGGCGGATCGGCTGATCTGTCACACTCGCCCGCTCGCGGCCGGACCGTGGGGCGGTCTCGAGCGAGGCGCCCGTTTGGCCCCGCCGACGCGGGGGTGCCCCTTATGAGGCGCTCGATTGGCATCCCCGACTCCTCTGCATTCGATTCGAAGCCACACTCCAGAACCATTTATGCTCGAGATCTTTTCGTCGAGGGAGAGAGAGTGAGAGAGAGAGAGAGCGACAGAGAGAAAGGGAGAAAGAAAGAGAGAGAGAGAGAGATGAAGAGACAGAGACAAAGAGGGATAGAGAGAGAGAGAAAACGAGAAAGAGAGAGAGAGAGAGAGAGAGAGAGAGAGAAAGAGAAAGAGAGAGAGAGAAAGAGAGAGAGAGAGAGAAAGAGATAGAGAGAGAGAGAGAAAGAGATAGAGACAGAGACAGACAGAGACAGAGTGATGGGGACAGCATTCAGACAGCTGCGCGGCGTCAATTCGCCACCGCCTCTGGGTGCGCAGGCCCGCCCGTGCGCCTGTGACGTTTTTTTGTCTTGAGCGGGCGACTGATCCTGCCTCCTCCTCCTCCTCCTCCTCCTCCTCCTCTTCCTCTTCCTCCTCCTCCTCCTCCTCCTCCTCCTCCTCCTCCTCCTGTTCCTCCTCCTCCTCCTCCTCCCCCTCCGCCCCCTCCCTCCCTCGCCGTCGTCCCAGGCCTCCCACTCGCAGGTGGGAGGATCCCGCGGGAGATTTGAACCTCCCTCCATCTCCTCACCCTCCATGTTCGCGTGCGCCCAAGTTCTGGAAGAGGGTGAGGACGAGGAGGAGGAGGAGGAGCAGGAGGAGCAGAAGGAGGAGGAGGAGGAGGAGGAGAAGGAGGAGGTGAGGAGGAGGAAGGTGACGACGACGACCACGGCGACGACGAGGACAAGTAGGAACACCAGAAGGAAAACGATGTGGGCAAGGACGACGAGGAGGATGATGATGAGGAGGAGGAGGAAATGCGGAGACGAGGAGGAGGACCAGTGTAAACCCAAGACTCACCAACGATGTTGGAGTATACCCTCCCTCCAAGCTCTTTCTTCATAGGCTCCTCCAAGGGTTCCTTTCCACTGGGGGAAGTGCGCCGTTGGGAGACAACCGTGTGAAAATCTAGACGCGTGCCAAAACACCACCCTCAGGACTTCAATACCACGAGTCAACCTGACTGGTGCGTCTTGACGATTTTGAATCGTGCCAGAACACTGTTTCTAGGATTTCAACTCCGCGAATGAACATAACTGCTGCGTCCTGACAATCCTGAGGCGTTACAGCATTCAAATGCTGGAATGTTAACCGCGATAATCCGTGACCCTGCTGCAATTTCTTCAAACGGCTGTGCGCGGTGCTAAGGCGAGAGCCACATTCTGAAAAAGGAACCGCCCTTAATCTTTGAATCATTGAATCCCTTGCACATTTGGATCGCTAATGTGAGCGGCGCTAAGTCGATAATCATGTTTTGAAAACGAGCCGCCTTGACTCCGTGAACGTCTTGCAACTTTTCAAGGCGAGTGTGCGCGACGCTAAGGCGAGCGCCACATTTTGGAAACGGCTCGCCTTCCATCCGTGAAGCTCTTGTTGTGTAGAGATGAGTGTGAGCGGCGCTAAGGCGAGAGACACATTTTGGAAACGGCCCGCCCTCCATCGGTGAAATCGTTGTTAGTATTGAAGCTTCAGGCTCGTACATGATAGAGACGTCTCATGCGAAACGCCCAGCCCAGCCCGCCCTTCCGACTGGCCTCGGGGTGCGACAGGGAGGAGTTATTCATGAAGAACGGAAATGGAGGAGGATGCGGCACCGATTCCTTCGGTGGATCTTGGGGTCCCCTTGGGGCCCTCTCTGGGCCCTCTTGGGGGCGTCTTGGGAGCACTGGAGGGGGTCTGTTGAGGCCTGGGAGGCTATCGATCAAAGGAGGGGGGTCTTCGATTTGCCTCCCCCCCAGGGGCCATCAAAATCAAAGGAGGGTCGGTCTTCGATTTGTCTCCCCCCAGGGGCCATCAAACTCGCCTTATGAGGCCCTCTTGGGGCGCTCTTGGGCCGCTCTTGGAGCCGTCTGCCGTCCATGGGGGCCTCTTGGGCCCCTCTTTGCGCCTCCTTGGGGTCATCATTAGGCCATCCTGAGACCTCAGGAGCGCATCGGACGCGAAAAGGCGAGACGCCAGGGACAAGCCAGGGAACGCGACAGAGGACGAGCCAAGGGACGCGCCGAGGTGGGAAGGGCAGACGCCGTCTCGCTCTGGGGCGTTGGGAACCCATATGCGTCTCACGCGTGTCCCGCTCTGGAGGCGTTAGGAACCATGTGTTTCCACGTGTCCAGCGGGTGTTCCCAAGGTGCTTGATAGCTTTTTGCCTCTTGGGGCGGCTGGGTCCCGCGGGGGCTCTGAGAGCACCTGGAACCGTCTTGCGGCCCTCGGCGGGCGCCTCGGAGGTATGTCGGAAGCTGTCTCGAGCCACCGTCGGCTGCCTGGAAGCCATTTTGGAGGCCATCTTGGAGCATCGGACGCCCTCTTGGCACCGTCTTGGGCCGTCTCGGGCGCCCTGACACTTTGCGGCCCACCCAAAAACCCTCAGGGAGGGGAGGGGCCCCTTCCCCAAAGGGAAGTTTTTTTGTTGTGGGGGCTAAGAGGACAGCAAGAAGTCGTTAGACGACCTTCGCCCAAAGAGCTGGTTGGATTAGAGGGAGTGGGAGGGCCCTCTCCTGATTGCCTTCCCTCCTCCTGCCTCCTCCCTCCTTCTCCCGTATCCCTGTCATTGTGCCGGGCGAAGTTGTCGCGGCCGCAACAACCTCGGAGAGGAGGAGGAGGAGGGGGAGGAGACCGAGGAGGAAGCACAGTAAGGGGGTCGAGCAGCCGATAGGCCGATCAGCCGCTCAGCGGTCGAGCAGCCGATCAGCTGATAAGCCGATCAGGGAGGAGGAGGAGGAGGAGGAGGAGGAGGAGGAGGAGGAGGAGGCTCTAACAAGGACCGCCCACAGCTCCTCCTCCTCCTCCTCCTCGCTTTGCGGCGCGGCGCGGCGCCGCGGCGAGGTCGACCCTCGTGGCGTGAAGCGGCCCCTCGAAGGCGGCCGCCGCCAGCCTGTCTCGGAGGGGGGGAGGCCGACGAGTGTTAGGAGGGGGAGGGGGAGGAGGACGGGGGGGAGGACGAGCAGGTGGTGGAGGAGGAGGAGGACGAGGAGGAGGAGGACGAGGACGGGGGGGAGGGCGACGAGGAGGACGAGGAGGGGGGCGAGGACGAGGAGGACGAGGACCAGTGCAAACCCAAGAGTCGTCAACGATTTTGCAAGAAACCCTCCCTCCAAATTCCCTCTTCATAGTTCCCTGAGAGGATTGGTTTTCACTGAGGGAAGTGCCCCGTTGGAAGACAACATTTTGGAGAAAACCGTGAACGGTGCCAAAACACCATTCCTGGGAGTTCAACGCTGCGAACCAACGCTGCTGTCGTGCTCTGACGGTCCAGAACCTTTCCAGAACGCCGTTTCTGGGACTGCAGCACCGCGAATCAACGTGACTGGTCCCCCCTGACAGTCCTACATCGCACCAACACAGAATTTCTGGTGCGTCAGCCATAATAGTCATTGAACTTGCTGCAATTCTTAGGACGAGTGTGCGCGGCGCCAAGGCGAGAAGCACCTGTTGAAAAGGACCCACCCTCAATCCGTGAAGCTCTTGCAAACTTTCAAGACGAATGTGCGCGGCGTTCAGGCGCGAGCAACATTTTGAAAAGGACCCGCCCTCATCCGCGAAGCTCTTGCAACATTTAAGGCGAGCTGTTCGCGGCGCTAAGGCGAGAGCCACATTTTGAAAAAGAGCCGCCCTCCATCCGCGACGCTGATGCGAACTTTTGAGGCGAACGTGCGCGGCGCTCAGGCGACATCCGCATTTCGAAAAGGACCCGCCCGCCATCCGCGAAACTGGTGCAAACTTTAGTAAGACTTGAGTAGGGCCGAGTGTCAGAGAGCGCCTTGCAGGACCACAACAAATGGACGTCAAGGTGGTCAAACGCCTCGCCGGTTAAGCCGACGAAGATGTGCAAAGTCCAACCTTTCGCTTATGTCCAAGGTTTTGGCTTGACGCCAGGTGTGGTGCATCAATTTCAGCTTGACCGAACAGGTTGATTGCGCCCCTTGGCGTCCGTTTGGGGTGTTCTGCAGACCTGGCCCCCCAGCCCTGCTCAACTTCAAGGCGACTGTTCGCGGCGCTAAGGCGACAGCCACGTTGTGAACGGACCCGCCCTGCATCCGTGAGACTAGTGTAAACCTTTACGACGAACGTTTGCGGCGATCAGGCGAGAGCCACATCTTGACAAGGAACCGCCCTCGATCCGTGAAGGCCTTGTAAACTTTACGACGAATGTTTGTGGCGCTGCGGCGAGAGCCACATTTCGGAGAAGGACCTGCCCTCCACCCGCGAAGCTGATATGCAAACTTTTAAGACGCTCTCCATACACGAAGTTGCTGCAAATGCTAGGCGCCGAGATCATGCAGTGCGAGGGATCCCCAGGCGCAACTCCCGACCCGCCCGACGACACGTCTCGGGGTGCGACAGGGAGGAGTTATGCATAAAGAACTCTGGCGTGGAGGAGGGCGATGAGGAGGACGATGAGGTGGATGAGGAGGAGGACAAAGAGGAGGAGGAGGAGAATGAGGAGGAGGAGGATGAGGAGGAGGAGGGAGGAGGAAAACGAGCGGAGCGGAGCGCGTCAGGGGCGGCGCCAGAGGCGCCGCAAGGGGAGCCCCAGCGCGGATCCAAGAAATCCGCGCGGAGCGCCAAAAGTTTATGTCTGTGCCTGTTTTTTCCCCACATCCTGAGTGGGGTTCTTGTTTTCCCAGAACACCCTCTCCTTCTCCTCCTCCTCCCGCGTCCTTCTCCTAAACCATACCATACCAAGCCATACCATACCAATACCTTACCATACCAATACCATACCAAGCCATACCAAGCCATACCATATCAATACCATACCATACCATACCAATACCATACCATACCATACCATACCAAACCAATAACATCCCAAGCCATACCAAGCCATACCATACCAATACCATACCATACCAATACCATACCAAACCACGAACAGAACAGAACAGCAACCAATACCATACCAATACCATACCAAATCATACCAAGCCATACCATACCAAGCCAATACCATACCAATAACATACCACATCATACCAAGCCCCTCCCACCCCTCCAGGGAGGCCCCGCCTGAGCGAGGAGGGTATTCGCATCACCTGTTATTTCTCAGGTTTCGTGCCCCTCCCACCCCTCCAGGGAGGCCCCGCCTGAGCGAGGAGGGTATTCGCATCACCTGTTATTTCTCAGGTTTCGTGCCCCTCCCACCCCTCCAGGGAGGCCCCGCCTGAGCGAGGAGGGTATTCGCATCACCTGTTATTTATCAGGTTTCGTGCCCCTCCACCCCTCCAGGGAGGCCCCGCCTGAGCGAGGACGCTATTCGAACACAGTGTTATTTATCAGGTTTCGTGCCCCTCCCACCCCTCCAGGGAGGCCCCGCCTGAGCGAGGAGGGTATTCGCATCACCTGTTATTTATCAGGTTTCGTGCCCCTCCCACCCCTCCAGGGAGGCCCCGCCTGAGCGAGGAGGGTATTCGCATCACCTGTTATTTATCAGGTTTCGTGCCCCTCCCACCCCTCCAGGGAGGCCCCGCCTGAGCGAGGAGGGTATTCGCATCACCTGTTATTTATCAGGTTTCGTGCCCCTCCCACCCCTCCAGGGAGGCCCCGCCTGAGCGAGGAGGGTATTCGCATCACCTGTTATTTCTCAGGTTTCGTGCCCCTCCCACCCCTCCAGGGAGGCCCCGCCTGAGCGAGGAGGGTATTCGCATCACCTGTTATTTCTCAGGTTTCGTGCCCCTCCCACCCCTCCAGGGAGGCCCCGCCTGAGCGAGGAGGGTATTCGCATCACCTGTTATTTATCAGGTTTCGTGCCCCTCCCACCCCTCCAGGGAGGCCCCGCCTGAGCGAGGAGGGTATCAATACCATACTATTTACATGGTTTCGTGCCCCTCCCACCCCTCCAGGGAGGCCCCGCCTGAGCGAGGAGGGTATCGGAATACCATACTATTTACATGGTTTCGTGCCCCTCCCACCCCTCCAGGGAGGCCCCGCCTGAGCGAGGAGGGTATCGGAATACCATACTATTTACATGGTTTCGTGCCCCTCCCACCCCTCCAGGGAGGCCCCGCCTGAGCGAGGAGGGTATCGGAATACCATACTATTTACATGGTTTCGTGCCCCTCCCACCCCTCCAGGGAGGCCCCGCCTGAGCGAGGAGGGTATCGGAATACCATACTATTTACAGGTTTCGTGCCCCTCCCACCCCTCCAGGGAGGCCCCGCCTGAGCGAGGAGGGTATCGGAATACCATACTATTTACATGGTTTCGTGCCCCTCCCACCCCTCCAGGGAGGCCCCGCCTGAGCGAGGAGGGCATCAAGAAAATGGGTCCCACAAAACCGTTAATCTCTTTATGTGGGGAACTCCGTTAGCATAATTCTTTTTCTACTATCGGGGCCTGGACCCACAGCTTGCCCAGGAACGTCCAGTGTCGTTATCGGGGGCTTATAGCATAGATCTCTAAGCAATTTATCACCGATTCCATGCCACCCCTGAGCCAGTCCCCCATTCCGACGCCCCTGATAAGGGAGGGCGGAGGGGGCCGGCCACGCCACAGTTTGCGCAGGTGCCGTTTTTGGCAATGGGCGGCCTTCTTGCCAAACAGGTTTGGGAGCGAAGCGTGACGTTACCAGTGAGGGGGAAGAGGGGGGGCCCAGCAGCGGTCGTCTTCGCAAATAGTTAAAGGGGCCTGCTCCAGGCGTGCGGGGTGGGGGGGGCGTTGCGTGGGGGGTGTCCCCAACCTTCCTTTTCGCAGCTTATCGGCGGGAGTTTTTGTGCTGTTTTCGATTCGGGGGCCCTCACCGGCCAAGGGACCGTCAGAAGGTGGTTCGGGATGAGAAGCCACCCCCAGGGAAGTGGTTTCGATCACCGGGGTTCCGCGCTGTGAGGAAAGATGGCCCCTGAGGCCTGGGGACGTCCAGGAGTCGGGCATGCTTGCCTTGCAGCGTCGCTCCTGCTCCGAGTTCCCACGTCTGCGCTGGGAGCGGCACCTCTGTGGGCAGCCCCACTTCGAGCCCCGCAGCGGATAGCCACCCTGCTCTCTACGGCACGGCAGGGTGCGCCGACGAAGCGTGGTGGACCTCCGTCGAGGGACGCCGCCACGCGGATTCGGCCACGCGCAGGGGGGGATAGGAGGAGGGCGGAAGGCTTCTTGGAAGCACCCCTGCTTCTTAGAGGTCGCGTGCCCTGTCTGATAGATGTAAGGCTGGCGCCTTTCTCAGAAGCAGCCTCCTTCCGAGAAGCCTTCCCCTTCTCCCCCTGCCCGCTCCTCTGCGCGCCGCAGACCTATTCCCGAACACAGAGTATGTTTTTGACTGCTTATATGACTGCTTGCTGATATGACTGCTGGCGCGTCATATAAGGAAGCTGTCCAGCTGCAGGTGCTTCAGTGCCTTTTCTTGTTGTACAACGGCCCCGTGACTCTATGAGGTTTTGGAGTTCTCTCAATCCAGATTTTTTGAGAGAAGTTGCGTGCTCCATAAAAGGGATCAAAAAAACGTGTCGTACCGTGAATCGTCATGCTTTTTCCTCGGGTCAGCCGCGATGCGAACGCCGAAGGGAAGTGCGAGAAACAGGAAATTTGAGGGGATGGGAGTGAGGAGGAAAATATCGGTCCTCATTTCTTCTGCGTACCGCTTAGGGTGCGCGTGTTTCGGTCTCCAGTGATAGACCTCCCGCTGCGTGCCTCAGGTAATGCTCGAGATTTGTGCGTAGCTCGCCTCAGATGACCGTACAGCTTCGTTGCTCCTTCATTTGGTAATCTGCGTGCAGGTCTCGATCGTTCTCAACTGATCCGCGTTTGAAATCCTTCAGAGATGGCGGAGTCTTCATTTCATGTGCGCTTCGGCGAGCCCGTGAAGTTCCTTCCGGTAGCGTTTGTCTTCGTCAACATTTGTTTTCTTTATGCAGTTGCCTGTGGCATCTTCCGCCAACGTGCCAGCGCAGCACTATCTGTGGAGACGCTTGGAACACCGCCCAGAAGTCCGTAGCATGCGACACCTCTCATCTCTATCGAAGACGCCTACGGCGAATCACCGCTGCCCCCTGCTTTTTGGAATCGCCACTGTGGCCGAGCGTTGTGACAAGAGCTCCTTCAAGCTATCGGGCGGGCCATGTGTTCCCCCAGCCCTTGTAGAAACCCTTCGGGGAACGCTTGGGGGAAGATGGCGGGAAGATCAGGAGGAGGAGGAGGAGGAGGAGGAGGAGGAGGATCTTGGCAGCCTCTGGGGGCGCTCTTGGGGCCTCCTTGGAGCTTCCTGGGAGCTTTTTGGAGGTATCTTGGGGGCCTCCCTGGCCCTCTTGGGGACCTTTGGGGGCTTCTCGGGGGGCTCTTTGGCCGTCTTAGGGCATTCCTGGCCCGTGTAACGCTGTCGGAAGCCGTCTTGGGTGCCTCTCTGGGCCGACTTGAGGCCCTCTCGGGGTGCTCCAGGGCCGTCTTGAAGGCCATCTTGGGCGTCTTCGAGGCCTCTGGGGCCGTCTTGGGGCCCTCCTGGGGCCGTCTTCGAGGCACTCTTGGGCCGTTCTAGGGTCATCTTGGAGGCCTCGTGGGCGATCTTGGGGCGATCTTTGGGGGCTTTTGGGCAGTCTCGGGCCGTCGGAAGATGGGAAAGAAGCAAACACCAACATCCGTCAGCCTCTTCGGGCCTTCCTGGAAGGCCTCTTGGAAGCCTCTTGGGCCGTCTTGGAGCCCTCTTGGGCCTCTTGGAGGCCTCCTGGGCCGTCTTGGGCCATCTTGAGGCTATCTTAGGCCGTCCTGGATGCATCTTGGGCCGTCTTGGAGGCATCTTGGGGCCATCGTAACCGTCTTGGAGGCCATCTTGGCAATCTTAGAGGCATCTTGGAGGCCAGCTTGGGCCATCTTGGCGGTCTTGAAAGCCATGTTGACCCGTCCTGGAAAGTTTTTTTGTGAGAATTGGGCGCCTTCCAGGTGGCCGGCGGGACGTGCCGGAGCCCCCGGGGAGAGTTCTTTTGGAAAAGAACCAAAACCAAACCTTGTAGGGTCTAGCACGCCGGGCACCCCTGTGGCAAGCCAACAGCGGGCGGCGGATCGAAGACGCCTACGGCGAATCACCGCCGCCCCCCTGCCTTTTCGGAAGCGCCTGCGTGGCCGAAAGTTGGGTTTGAGCTTGGCCAAGCTATCGGGCCACGCGTTCCCCGAGTGGGTTTCGAAAGCCTGCGGGGAACACCGAGTCGGGTGAGCTATCGGACCAGGTGGTTTCAGAGCTTTCGGGCCTTCTGGAGGACGTCTTGGGGGGGTCTTAGGCCGTCTAAGAGGCCTCTGGCGGGCCTTTCGGGCAGTCGAAGGCCATCTTCAGGCCATCAGGGGCAGTCTTGTGTGCATCTTGGGGCCATCTTCGCTGTCTTAGAGGCCTTCTTGGCCGTCCTGAAAGCATCTTGGAGGCCATCTTGGCCGTCTTGGAGGCCATCTTCGGCGTCTTCGGGGCCATCTTGAGCCGTCTTTGGGCCTTCTTGGGGCCCTCTTGGGGGCCTCTTGGGCTGTCATAGGGGCCATCTTGGAGGCCTCGTGGGCGCTCTTGGGACGATGTTGGGTGCCTCTTGGGTCGTCTTGGGCCGTCGGATGGCTGAAAATAAGAAAATGCAAAAATCCGTCAAAATCATAGGACATTTAATGATTTTGGCCCTTTCGAGTCTTCCTGGAAGACGTCTTGGAGGGCACTTGGGCCGTCTTGGAGGCCTCTTGCGGGCGTATAGGGCCGTCTTAGGCCATCTTGAGGCCGTCTTGGGCCGTCTTGGGTGCATCTTCGGGCCATCTTAGCCGTCTTGACGGCCATCTTGGGCGTCTTGGATTCATCGTGGAGGCCATCTTGGCCGTCTTGGAGGCCAGTTTTTGGACGTCTTGGGGACCTCTTGAGCCGTGTTGGGGCCTTCTTGGGGCCCTCTTGGGGGCCTCTTGGGCTGTCATGGGGCCATCTTGGGGTAGATGTTGGGGGCCGCTTGGGCCGTCTTGAGCCGTCGGGGAGCTGAAAAGGAGCAAAAGCCAAACTCCTTCAAATACCTAAGGAACATCAATAAGTTAAACCCTGTCGGGCCTTCCTGGAGGACGTCTTGGAGGGCTCTTGGCCGTCTTGGAGGCCTCTTGCGGGCCGATAGGGCCGTCGTAGGCCATCTTGAGGCCATCTTGAGGCCATCTTGGGCCGGCTTGGGTGCATCTTGGGGCCATCTTGGCCGTCTTGGAGACCATCGTGGGTCTTGGAGGCATCTTGGAGGCCATCTTGGCCGTCTTGGAGGCTATCTGGGGCTTCTTTGAGCCCTCTTGGGCCGTCTTGGGGCCTTCTTGGGGCCGTCTTGGGGGCCTCTTGGGCCGTCCTGGGGCCGTCTTGGAGGCTTCTTGGGCACTCTTGCGGCGATCTTGATGACCTTTTCGGCAGTCTCGGGCCGTCGGAATCCGAAAAGGAGCAAAAGCCAAAATCCTTCAACCACCTAAGGAAAATCAATGATTTTGACCTCTTCGGGCCGTCCTTGAGGACCCTGGAGGACCTCTTCGAAGCCTCGTGGGCCGACTTGGACGCCTCTTGGAGGTCTCTGGGGCCGTCTTGGGTCGTCGTAGGTGTTTCTTTTGCGAACTTGGAGGCATCCTGGACTCTCGTGGGCCGTCTTCGAGGCCATCTTGGACCATTTTGGGCGAACTTGGAGGCCATCTTGGGCCATCTTGGCCATCTTGGAGGCCATCTTGGAGCCGTCTGGAGGCGAAACACCTTTTGCAGCCACCTTTTATGCACTTTTCCGGGTGGCCGGCGGGACGGGCCGAAGCCCCAGGGGGGAGTTCTAAAAAAACCCAAACCGAAAGGGTCTAGCACGCCGGGCACCCCTGTGGCAAGCCAACAGGGGGCGGCGGATCCAATTGCCTTCGGCCCATCCCGCCACCGTGCCTGGGTTGTGGGTGTGAAGTTTATCGCATGTTCGTTGGGCCTTGTGGGAGGCCTCTCGGGGGCCTCTTGGAGGCAGTTTTGAGGCCTCTTGGGGGCAGTTTTGGGGCCTCTTGGTGCCTCTTTTGGGGATTCTTGGGCGGGGCGGAATTCTCGGATTTTCAGTTCGTGTTCCTTCTCTTGGGCCCCTGTATGAGGCCGTCTTGGGGCCCTCTTGGGCCGTCTTGGGCGCCTCTTGGGCCGTCTTGGGGCGCTCTTAGACCGTCTTGCGACTTTTTGGGGTGGCCTTGGGGGCCTCTTGGGGCGTTCTTGGGCGTCGGGAAGCCGAAAAGGCGAGAACGCCAGCATCTTTCAAACGCCCAAAGGGATCAATGATTTTGCCTCTTGGCCTCATCGAGACCTCTGTGGCCCTCTTGGGGTGTCTCTGGGGCTTGTTCGGCGGACTGGGGGCCATCCTGCGCGTCTTGGGGCGATCTTGGGGCGACTTGGGGCCCACCTTGACCGTTTTGGGTGCCTCCCACGGGCCGGCTCGGGAAGCGACTTTCAAGTCTGGCTGCAGCAGCAACAGCAGCACAGCCATCTCAGTGCTGCATGCGCCTTGAGGCACTCCTCTTCTCATAGCGCCAACATCGCGGAGCCGATTTCGTTCGGGAAACGATAGGACGGGCCCGGAGTGTCCTGGAGAATTTCGTTCCGGATTTTGAGGTGAATTTCGTGCGGATTTTTTTAGGCCAGGAATGAAGACTACAACAAATACACGTGAAATGCACTTCGTTTTTCGCTCGCCGTTTCGGGGTTTTGCATTGACAGTGCTGCATGGTGAGCGTTTTTGTATTAATTCTTTTGCCGATCGGCGCGGGCCCTCGCACCCCCCCCCCTCCCCCCCCGTGGAGTAGATCTTGGCTGTTTGTTGGTGCCTGTTTCGAGCAGGTGGGGTCTCCCCTCATAGGACGCACTGTTCCGAACAGTCGCACTAAGCAGAGGTCCAGAGCCAGACCCGCCCCCTTCCGCCCAATGTCGAAACGCCGAATAAAAATCGCTCACATGAGCCTTGAGGGACTCCTCTTCGTGCCACAGGCATTGTGGCGGATTCCTTGAGAGGCTCTCATGGGGACTGCGTGCGCTGTGTTGGGCTCGTGTAGACACCTCGCGTGAAGACTTCTCTGTGGGGCTCATGTGAACCAGGGCTGGACCAAAACGCTGTTTTGCTGGACTTCGGCTGTGTTTTGTTTTCGTTTTGCCAGGGAGGTACAGGAAAACAGGTAGAGTAAAACGAAAAACAAAACGACAACAAAACGAGCAGCAGCGTTTAGGTCCAGCCCTGATGTGAACACTTCTTGGGCAGTCGTGGGGCCCTCTTGGACTGTCTTGGGGCCCTCTGGGGCTTTTTCGGGGCCTTCTTGGGGCTGCCCTGGCCGTATGGGGTGCCCCTTGGGGTCTTTACGGCGCTCTTTTGGCTCTTTTTCGGTTCCTCCCAGGCAGTCGTGGAACCTTGTCAAGCCGGGCGGCCTGGGGACCCCGAGATCTTCAGAGATGTCGAATCCCATATGTTCTGCGTGGGCTTTGGCCCTCATGGAGGGCCTCTTAGCGTTTTCTCTGGTGTCTTGGAAGCCTCGCCGGGCCCCTCGGGCCCTCTGGGGGTCTTTCTGGGGCTGTCGGGTGCAGCCGGAGCCCACGTTGGGCCACGTTAGCGGCCTTGGTAGCCTTCCTTGACCGTCTTGGAGGCCTTCAGAGCCTTCGAGGGCGCAAGGCAGACGCCGTAGTGTCCATGAAGCCTTCGGAGTGGCGGGCGGTGCAAGAAGAACTCTGTGTCGATGGTTGCGGGCCCTTACACGACGTACAGTCACCTTCCCAAACAGCCCACAAGCATTCTGACACGCCCGCATCGTGCAGGAATGGTGATGGATTTTGTATACATGTGGTGGCATATCGGGCTGCTCCTGGATGATCCCGATCCCGACATGCGAAATAAAGGCTTCAGGGAAGCGATTTGCTTCAATGTCGTGAGCGTGCTTCTAATTACATGCTATTTGAGGTGCATCCTGGTACACCCTGGAGCGATCCCTACGAAGGAGGAGGACCCGTCGTGGGAATTCATCCCTCGTGACTCCGCTGGGCATGGAGACACTTCCGCTGGGATTAGTTTGCAGGAATCGAAGCGCTCTGGAGACAGAAGGCACTGCAAGTGGTGCACAAAATTCAAGCCTGATCGGTGTCACCACTGCCGTGTGTGCAAGACCTGCATCTTGAAAATGGACCATCACTGTCCCTGGATCTACAACTGCGTTGGGTTTAAGAATCACAAGTATTTCTTTCTCCTGCTGTTTTACTCGGTCATAGACCTGTGGCTGATCGTCTGGACGATGCTGCCGTCCGTGACGAGCTCGACTGATTCAACTATTCCCTTCTCTCAGATGTTTTGCTTGCTGTTCGGCGAGACGCTCGCGAGCTTCTTGAGCGTCCTGCTCACTGGGCTCGCGGCGAGCGCCAACGCATACACCTACACCGATCTTGGCCAGGCCACTATCCTGGGCTCCGCATCTGTGTACACGCCGCCTGGGCTAGACAGGGAAGGCGCACACGTCAGATCCTGGGCCCAGTGTATCGGCCCTGCCACTGCCGGTGTCGGTGTATAGTTGTCGTCGTCTTAGTTTCTTCTTCTTCCACGTCTACCTCATGCAGAAGGCGATGACGACGATCGAGTTCTGCGAGAAGAACCTGAAGCGCACGGGTCACGACCCCAGCACTTACGACCGCGGCGTCATCGGCAACGCGAAGGCGCCCCTATCTGCTCCCCTGGCTCCTTCAGATAAGGTTGTCGTGGTCGTCGACGTCAACGCCGACGTCGACGTCGACGTGGTGGTGGTCGTCGTGCTCGTTGTCGTTGTCGTTGCCGTTGTCGTCGCCTTCGTCGTTGTCGTCGTCGTCGTCGTCGTCGTCGCCGTCGTCGTCTCAACACAGCCAGACGCAGCTTGAAAAGCATGCCAGGACGGGAGGGCCGCCGTTCCTCTCTCTGTTTCCCTTTCTGTCCTTCTCCGTCATGCCCCTGCCCCGCTGCCCTTCACTCCAGCCCCACCTGTCTCCCCTGCTCTCTATCCAGTGGACCCTCCCCTCCCTCTCCTCCCTCCCTCCTCCTTGCAATCCCCCCCCTCCTCCCCTCCGTCCTTCCTCCTCCCCCCTCCTCCTCTCCTCCTCCTCCTCCTCCTCCTCCCCTCCTCCTCCTCCTCCTCTCCTCCTCCTCCTCCTCCTCTCTCTTCCTCCTCCTCCTCTCCTCCTCCTCCTCCTCCTCCTCCTCCTCCTCCACCCCTCCTCCTCCTCCTCCTCCTCCTCCTCCTCCTCCTCTCCTCCTCCTCCCTCCTCCTCCTCCTCCTCCTCCTCCTCCTCCTCCTCCTCCTCCCTCCCTCCTCCACGCCTCCTGCCAACTCCTCTCAGGGGCACGTCAGGGGGTGTATCGGCTCAGAGGGGAAAGGCATCGACCCCCACTTCGCCACTGCCAATCCGTCGCCGATCCCAGGTCACGTGTTCCCCCTTTGATCTCTCTCCTCTCCTCACCTCCCTCCTCCTCCTCCTCCTCCTCCTCCGTCCATCCTCCTCCTCCTCCTCCTCCTCCTCCTCCTCATCTCTCCGTTTCTCCTCTCCTCCTCCTCCTCCTCCATCCTCTCCTCCTCCTCCTCCCGCCTCCTGCCTGCTACTCCTCTCGGGGCCACGTCCAGGGGGGGGGGACTTCTCGCCCAGAGGGGGAAGGCATCGACCCCCCACGTCGCCCACTCTGTCGCGGATACCGCCAGGTCAGTGTTTCCCCCCCCCTCAGCCCCTCCACCCACGCCTCCTCCTCCTCCTCCTCCTCCTCCTTCCTCCTCCTCCTCCCTCCTCCTCCTCCTCCTGCCTTCCTCTCCTCACTCCTCCTCCTCCTCCTCTCCATCCTCCTCGCTCCTCCTGCTCGCTCCTTTCCTCCTCGCTCCTCCTCCTCCTCCTCCTCCTCCTCCTCCTCCTCCTCCTCCTCCTCCTCCTCCTCCCGCCTCCTGCCTGCTACTCCTCTCAGGGGCAACGTCAGGGGGGGGGATCGGCTCAGAGGGGGAAGGCATCGACCCCCACTCGCCCACTCGTCGCCGATACCAGGTCAGTGTTTCCCCCCTGAGCCTCCTCCTCACTCCTCCCCCCTCCTCCTCCCTCCTCCTCCTCCTCCTCTCTCCTCCTCCTTCTCCTCCTCCTCCTCCTTCCTCCTCCTCTGCTCCTCCTCTTCCTCCTCCTGCTCGCTCCTTTCCTCCTCATGCCTCCCTCCTCCTCTCTCGCTCCTCCTCCTCACTCCCATCCTCCTCCTCCTCCTCCTCTCCTCCTCCTCCCTCCTCCTCCTCCTCCTCCTCCTCCTCCTCCTCCTCTCTCCTCCTCTCTCCTCCTGCTCGCTCCTTTCCTCCTCGCTCCTCCTCGCTCCTCGCCCTCCCTCTTCTTCTTCTTCTGCTGGCCCTCGGAGTGTGCCCCCCCCGCCCCCCCCTGGCTGCGCCGTAGCCCCACATTCAAGTCGGGCATGTCCCTCTAGAGGATGAGTATTCAGGAATAGTCAAACAACAGTCTCGGGACGATTTTGATTCAGTTGGACTATTTTTGAGCACGTTTGACTATTTTCAAATACTCTTCGTCCAAAATCAGCTTGTGGGAAGACGTGGCCGACCAAACCATAGCCCCACATTCGCGGCGACGGCGCGTGCCCCAGTCTGGCACCATGGCCCTCCGTCGTGCGGCCAGCGCGCGGACTCCGACGGGCTGCGGCAGGTGGTCGGCAGAGGAGGGTTCATTCTGGGCCGTCGTTCGCGGCCTCCCGTGCCGGCGTGCGAGGATCTCCGCCACAGCCCGGTGCAGTCGTCTCCTTTCTCTCTTCTCCTGTACACTCTAACCCTCACGTTCTGGGGGGGCTCCACTGCGCTGGTTCACCTCTTGGGTACCGCCGCCTGCTCTCGCGTGCCCCTCCACTGGTCCCGTTCTCCTCCCATGCCCCCGAGACTTCTTGCCTCCACCTTTCTCGCACTCGCAGTTGCCGCAACGCCCGTTTATTCACACACCTTTCCGCACGTCTCAGTTTTTCCGATATCTCGCGCACCAAAATTCGAAACTAACCCGTGCTCTTTCCGACTGCAACGACTGCTGCTGAGTGTCTTGGCCATGGCAATTGGCTTGGAAACGTAATGCTCAATTAACAACGTCCCCGTCTCGATAATCCACGGTGTAACCAAGCAAAAGGGCGCGCGTGGTAGGGCAAGAGGAGGAACGGAGACAGTGGAACATGCACCGGTACGCTCGAAATAGGTACAGAAAGGCTGGCCACGAAAACCGACAGCAGTACCTGTTTGTTTTCAGCAGGACTCGCTGTCGGTCTCGCCGCGCACGTTGTCAAGTTTAGACAACACATCGCCTGCTCACTAGGGACATCTGTCTTTTTTGGATAACATTGGTTGTTGGGATTGTACCTTTTCTCCGTATCCATGTCGGTCGTGCCAACATGATGAGGAGAGGAGGAGGAGGAGAAGGATGAGGAGGAGGAGGAGAAATGGAAGTGGAGGAAGAGGAGGAGGAGGAGAAGAGGAAAAGGAGGAGGAGGGGTAGAGGGAAGAAATGGAGGAGGGATGATGATGATGATGATGATGATGATGATGATGATGATGATGATGATGATGATGATGATGATGATGATGATGCTGATGCTGATGATGATGATGATGATGAGGATGAGGATGAGGATGAGGATGGTGATGATGAGGTTGAGGGTGAGGGTGATGAGGTTGAGGGTGAGGGTGAGGATGATGAGGATGATGAGGATGATGATGATGATGATGATGAGGATGATGAGGATGATGAGGATGATGATGATGATGATGATGATGATGATGATGATGATGATGATGATGATGATGATGATGATGATGATGATGATGATGATGATGAGGATGAGGTTAGGGTGAGGGTGAGGGTGAGGGTGAGTATGAGGTTGAGGATGAGGAGGAGCGGAGGCGAAGGCGGAGGCGGGGGAGAAGTTGCAGGAGGAGGCGGAGGACGACGAGGGAGCGTCGCGAGGAGGCGCGGTGAGGCGCGGGGCCTGGTCGGCGGGAGCCCTCGCGAGGCGGTGCTCGGCGATAACTACCTCACGTGGCTGGTGCCCTGGGACCCTCCGCCTGGACAAGGCGCGCGCGGAACAGCCAGAGAGGGCGAGAGGTCAGGAAGAGGTGCTGATGCTGCGCTACCCTTCCCTCGCTTTCGCCTTGTTGAGCCTCCCAGGAGGCCCACGTCGCCACGGCTGGAGTCGCCTCGGAATCGTGGCCAGAACGCGCCCCGGGAGAGGTCTGTGGGGTAGCGGTATGGGTACCGTGCTTTGTGGCTTCCCAGTAGAGGGAAGTCCGGGGCAACACGAGGAGAGGGGGGGATCGGGTAAGCGGGGAGGGGTGCACCGACCCCAGTCGCCCATTGGTCGCCGATATGGGGCTTGATTTCCCAGCCCGCCCATGAACGTGCGGATTCGCTACCAGGGGCCTATTCGCCGATCTATCGGCGATGTAATGCCAATTCCAGGTCGATGTTTCCCCCAACGGAGCCCCCCCCCCAAAACGTTGCCCCTCAGGAGGGCGAGATGGGGGGAGTGCGAGGGGGACAAGGAGGACGAGATGGGGTGAACGAGGAGTCGCGAGAGGGAGAGGGCGAGGAGGGGGGGGGGCGAGGCGGCGGGTGAGGGGGAGAGGGCGAGGAGGAAGGGGATGAGGACTACTTAGGATGAGGATGAGGATGATGCTGCTGCGGATGAGGAGGAGGAGGAGAAGGAGGAGGTGGAGGATGAGGATGATGATGATGAGGATGACTATGCTGATGCTGATGATGGTTATATTTTGATGCTGCTGCAGCTGATGATGATGCTGATGCTGTTGATGATAATGATGGTACTGATGATGATGACGATGATGATGAT